TTTTTTTTTTTTAATAATAAAAATAATTTACAAATTTAGAAAAATAAATAAACAAGTCACAACCGAAAAATCACATTATTTCTATTTGTCGTATAAATATTGATTGAAAAGAATCCACAGCTCTTTGGATTAGCTTAATTGGCTTTTTTATTGGTCAGCTCTAATTGAGTCATTTGTGTGCTGCGTATCGGAATTGATAAGCGCCAACTTATCAGCGGCTGCCTGACCATACCACTTGCGTTTGAGAGTGAGGAAAATTCCCACAGCCAAAAGGATGCAGCCCAAGCAGAGAAAACCAATGCCCGTATAGCGTCCAATCGAAGGTAGATTTAGAGCCAGCTATAAAGAAACGTCATGAATGAGCTGCAAGGGAACTTAAATGCCATATATTTACCTTCAGCTCTGCGGCAAGTTCTTTGTTGATAACAGCTGAGCTGGAGGATGTGAAGAGTGGCGCATAGAAGGACGGAATGCCCTTTAAAATGCTGTGTGTGTTAAATGACATGGTTTAGATACCCGTGAAATATCTCTATAAATAGATTCCAAACTCACTCAATGTCCTCATCCGGTTCGATTAGGAGTGAGACCATAACAGCTGCATTCACCTCTAGAGGAACACCCAATTTGCGCTCCATTATGATGAAGAAATTGTGACGCTCGTAGTCCGGCTGGAAGCCATTTACAGTGCTCGAATAACTCTCGTCCGCGTACATGAAGTGATCTGCCGAGAGATACATTGGCGCCCCATTGCCACAGGGGCCCAAATCGGTGGCGCCCGAGGCTGGACAATTATTGGGCTGCCTGTCGACGGGACAATAACATTTCATGTTTCCATTTCGCTGTCCATTATCAAAGGTGTGCGGCGTCACCTCGTACTTCCAGCCCTGAATGCCCTCAATCTCGTAGCTCTGACCCGTGTACTCCAAATTGATAATGCGACAGGTATCGGTTATGTATATGGTAAGCGCCTTTTCCTTCGGCTCATCGGGCACAAAGAGGTCTGAGGTGCTGCCATTCAGGCGTCCGCATTCGCCCTCATACCAGCCCGTATGATTGACACCATTCCAGAATTTAATTTCGCCCATTTCTTTGATTGCGCCGACGCCCGTGTGCACGGTGAAGACGCCCTCAAAGTTCTCCGAATTGTTTCGATTCAGAAACCACGCGAATTGGTCCGTCTCCACTGGCGGCACCAAGGGATTGTTCAAGGACATGGCATAATGCAAAAACTCATCGTAGAAACCATCGAAGAGCCACTCGCTGGCCGTGTGGGTCGCATACAGTGCGCCGCCGTTGGCATTGAGGGCAATGTTAAAACCCACTTTAATTGGTTTGAGACTATCGCGCATGGAAGCCGCCGCAGCCTGAAATGCAATGAGAGTCGTCTATAGGTCTTACATTTCTTTTGGCACCTTCGCTGCGAGTACTCACAATCGATGGCAGATGAGGCACTGTTACCAGGTCTGTTTGCTTGCCCCCGGACATTTGCTCCTCCCAGAACCAGGTGCGACGCGGCTTGAACGAAACTGTATTGTTCGCATGCCACTGCAAATCCATTTTCAGGCGCTCCTCGCGGTAGACATAGGGTCCGACCTGTTGGAAATTTGGCTTAGCGCCATGCAACTTTACCTCCTCCGCGTTCGTCCAGTTCCACAGATACATCTTCATATAGACGGGTATGGGCAGCTCTTCCCATTTGTCAAATGTCCTCGATGTCGGCGTCAGGGGCAGAGACTAAGTGTGTAAGTGTCCAAGACTTGGAATTAGAATACATATGCAGAAATATTCGAGATCAACCTGCCTTCATAACTACATCATCGATAATATCGGGCCACCAGATTACAAAAAATAGACCCGATACGGCAAACAGTGTTCCAAGGCCAAAGACCCAGACCTTTTGTTGGGTCACTCCACAGCAGCGACAGCACATCGCGACGTCTGCATTCGAAATGCCCTCAATGAAAGCCAATTTTGGTTTGTTAACTATTCTATTATTGCTTAATCGCAGCTAGGCCTCTCTCTCTCTCTCTCTCTCTCTCCTCTCTCTCTTCGTATGCTATAATCGCAGTTTAACCATAATCTCTTTGACATGGTATACATATATACATTTTTATTTTATTACTCCCTTTTAATGGCCCCCTCGAAATTTATTAGTCTATGCATAGTCGCGGTTGGCCAGATGTGCGAGCCATGCACTTAATGAACTTCAACAAGTCTGATAGGATTTCAGGGTTACCATGCTTATCAATTATCAATTATTAGAGTCTGGCAAGAGTCTTAAAGCTTACTCATAAGTAACTGGCAACAGACGACAAAGCGAATTTAATGATAATTAACAGAGTTTTATGATCAAATTTGAGTGCGAAAATTATAATTTAAATTGGATTCTTCATTAGGTCTGTAGCTGTTTATGCAATTAGTAAACCAAGCTTATCGACTCTACAAACATATGAGATGATTCGTATACAAATATAGTAGTAAGTGAAATAGCCCTGGATCTTATTTATAAGTGATATAATCAGCAACTGTTAGACTCAGCAACTGTTATACGAGCTGAACCTAGCAATTCTTATAATTGCACATTACAATATACATTTTCACTTTCAACAACTGTTATACATAGCAATTGTAATACTTAAAACTGTTCTATGTACTTTATCATTTGTGTAAATTACAATGATATACCATACTTGAAAACAGTTATAATGGTCAATTGTTATACTTGGTAATTGCCAATACTTGGCAGCTGTTATAATGTTTATATTTAGTACAAACTTGTGTACTTAAAAATGAAAATATTTATCAACTGTTATACATTAAAAGAGTATTATCTTTAAAACATTAATTCTGAGAATTTATTTTGAATACCAAAAATATCTTAGCCCCCTATCAGTTTTAGTTAATCAGTTTTAATTTATAGCAGCTGGACATAAAAGATTCAATTTTAAACTGAGAAATGCTATGACTAATAATCAGTTTTAATTTATAGCAGCTG